ATATTATTTTATATATTTTTTTCATGGTTGTTAACCGCAAATTCAAGTGGCACAACCCCAAACATTTATTACAGAAAAGACGATTTATTGTCTTGGTAATCGACCAGTTGGATTGGGTGGAATTTTGAAGGGCGAACAAGTTTTGCCCTGAGATTAATCAAAGTTTTTAGGACAACACAGTAAAAGTTGGTAGGTCATCAAGAAGAAAATGTATATAAAGGGAGAGAAATAGAGGTAGAGAGAGAGAGCGAGAACGAGACTGAGAGAGGGAGAGTGCGAGAACGAGACTGAGAAAGAGAGAGCAAGACCGAGACTGAGAAAGAGAGAGCAAGGAGTGACAGCAAGGATAGATAGAGATACAGAGAGAGAGAGAGAAAGAGACAGAGAGAGACAGAGTAAGAGAGCGAGAGCGAGAGAGAGAGAGAGAGAGAGAGAGAGAGAGAGCGACATCAATGTTCTCTACTTGTGTTTCAGGACGGCAGGTCTACTACCCTGTAGTGTTCAGCCAGTACAATCCGGACATCGTTAAAGCTTACTCGCCAGAAAAGTACACCAAGGACCTGCTAGACATCAACAAGTACACCGGTGCGTAGAGCAAACTCTGAGATCGAGCTACCTACCCAGGCTAGTGCAGTGGCCCCATCTAGATTCAGTAAAATCTCATTATTGCTGTCGTTTCAAATACGCTTGCTCTAGGTGCTGGTCTATGCGAGTTCGAGTATTATTTGGCTTTTGTTGTACTTGTAGGGCATTTTTCTTTGATTTCTTTTGATATGAATACGTAACTGGTCATGCACTTGTTGATTAAAAATATTCGATTTCACAACAGCATACACAATTTTAATACAACTTCTTCGAATTCATTGTTGTCATAGAATGTCTGACAAAGCAACCGAGCAAGCCGATATATCACTCTTTCAAGTATCACACGCATGCAAACTATTGAATATTGCTAACATCCCGTGTCTTTGCCACGCAGGCATGTGGCTGCACTATGGCTTTGGCATGGCGTGCATGTTTGGTGTAGACTACAGGGCGGTGGGAGGTTTTCGGCTGGACCTGGCAGGCTGGGGCGGTGAGGACGTGGACCTATATGAGAAACACGTAGCGAGTGATATCCAGGTACTTGCTTATACTCACTGGAGCAAAACCCAAGTGTAAATGTCTTGATATATATAAGAATGTATATATATATAT